ACTCAACAAGCGTCTTCAGAATATCAATATCAATTCCAACATGTCCGGCCCTACCATCACAGTTTTTAAGGCTAAAGTCACCTGAACGAAATTTGCCGAACCATCGTTGCCACTTACGAACGTTCAAAACATTTCCATAAACTTCTTTGATATCTTTTGTGGCTACAGAGGCGTTGTTTCCCTTCTTGTATTCAAACAGCATTACATGTCGAATATGTGTCTCGTCATAAACCATCACTATAAGGGATTAGAGTATATTAAACTTTACACATTATATAGGCTACACTAACTTGACGTTTAGGCGGTTCGTTTAACTATTATGCGTGATGTACGATTTTTTTTGGGGGGGGGGGGTAATGAAAGTGTTCCAAAACGCGACATTAATTTCTTGACGACCTAATAGAATGTATATATACACATAATACTTTTATTGTACGGATGATCACGAGATCAGTTCTGTAATTTTGTATTGAACATAACGAGTTTTGAAAGCCGACGTTACTAAAACATATTTTAAAGCAAATCCACATTTTTCGGATACTTTAACATTAAGGCCAATTCGTCTAACTAATCGTCTTACCTTACGACTGATTTCATTACTGATAAAAAGTAAAACAAGACCTTTCACTAACACTTTGTGGTAAGCATGTGTTCGATTTATTGAGTTCTCAAAAGGATGCCAATTCGTCTAACTAATCGTCTTACCTTACGACTGATTTCATTACTGATAAAAAGTAAAACAAGACCTTTCACTAACATTCTGTGGTAAGCATGTGTTCGATTTATTGAGTTCTCAAAAGGATGCCAATTCGTCTAACTAATCGTCTTACCTTACGACTGATTTCATTACTGATAAAAAGTAAAACAAGACCTTTCACTAACATTCTGTGGTAAGCATGTGTTCGATTTATTGAGTTCTCAAAAGGATGCCAATTCGTCTAACTAATCGTCTTACCTTACGACTGATTTCATTACTGATAAAAAGTAAAACAAGACCTTTCACTAACATTCTGTGGTAAGCATGTGTTCGATTTATTGAGTTCTCAAAAGGATGTTTCATTTCGTTTCGTTAGAAGAGAACTTTTTTGCTTTTCTTCGTTAAGCAGCATTTCTGACGTAAGAGACAATGTACTCTAGCCCTAAGCGTTTAGGAATAAACTACATGTTGTCGAACTGAAGCAGGATGAGAGGAAACATAATTAAATAGTACTCCACTATGTTCTGTAGTTTTATGCTTGTGTGAAAGTTGTTCACACGTTGAAAGAAATCCTGATTAGAAGCAAGACCAGAATTCCAAACCAGTAAGATGTCATCTATGTAAGAGAGGATTTGAAAAGTATCCCATTTGAAAACTCTGTTTCAAGTGTATTCATAAAGATAGTAGCAAACTGGTGCGGCGGCATTTGATTGTCCATAGACACTTCTAACTTTGCTAGAAGATTTTTGTTGTTGCTGTTGAATTTCGTGCATGGCTGATCGAGGGTTATCTGCACTAGCCGTCCCTAATTTTGAAGTGATAGACTAGAGGGAAGGCAGTTAGTCAACACCATCCATCGCTAACTCTTGGGCTACTCTTTACCAACGTATAGTGGGATCGGCTCTCACTTGTAACGCCCCCCGAGTAACGCCGAGTATGTTCGGTGACGGGATTTGAACTCGCTATTTTCGAGGGAAATGACTGTCTTTTTCTGTCAGACTGTACCACCAAAGGTTGACTAGAGGTGTCGTTAACGGATTCAGAATTATGATTAATTTCTAGGGTTAGCCTTCTCCTTGTTAAACCTAGCAGCGAAACGTAACACCCACATTTTAAAAGTACGTTGTGTCAATGTGTTTTTGGTAATATAACGAATAAAGTATTGAAAATAATACCTGCTGCATCATATATATTGTAAGTTCGTTGTGCATAGTGAATTTAAAGAAAATAAAAATTACTCTCTTCAATCCATTCATTATCGTTTTTTGATGATAATCTGATATCTTTGATGCCTTCAACTGCGTGCACCAAGTAGTTTTCTAAATAAATTGACAAGAACATGATGCTAGCGACTGTATAAGTTAGCTACTTTATGAATATTGAGCGATCACTACTAGCAGCTTATACAGTTAATAGTTTATAACTGTAAAACAGGGTTTAGAATATAAGACTTGCGTAGTTAACACTAGAAAATATGATATACAGTTATAATATACTATTAACTGTATAAACTGTTGGTACTCCTCGCTCAATGGTGTATTGAAATTCTCTGTTATAAGCTGTACCACTAGCAATGAGTGTGGTTCTCTCGGTATTTTGTGGAGATTATCAGTTCTTAAAACTGCGTTGTTAATACCTGTAAGTATTTTGTTAATATTATCAGTTCTTATAGCTGCGTTGTTAATACCTATCAATATTTTGTTTAGATTATCATTTCTTTAGAGCCGCGTTGTTAATACCTGTCAATATTTTGTTAATATTATCAGTTCTTATAGCTGCGTTGTTAATATCCAGACTTAACCTTTACTACCTCTATCTGTGTCTCACCTACAGCTGAAGAAGCTATGTGTGTACTGCCAAAGGTTATCCAGATAACTTTAGAGAAAGAAAATGGGAGTTTCGGCTTCACGCTGAGAGGTGGCGCGTGTTCTGACAGACTGAAGTCGAGACCTCTCAAGATCACACATGTGCGACCAGGAGGTCCTACAGATAGGTTTGTGCATGTTGTTCTCTAGTCAACATAATTGTTACTGAAGTAGATAACAGTAGTTAAATCTGTAGATAGGTGTAAAAATCATTATATTTTTACATAGATATATTGACTGTTTGGGTGAACAGGAAGAACAAAAGGATATACAAATAGATTAACCAACACTAAAAGGTAGTAAAAACTATTGTCATGATTGATCGAAATTGGGTGCTATAGATACGGTGTATTACGTATTACAGATTACGAAAACATGCAAACAGTTTAGTTTACTGAAATACGACTGTGTAATTTCTCTTGCAAATGAAGTAAAAGATCAAATGTTTACGTCATTAAAGTAAATATAAACCACACTTTATTCATTTCTTGTTAAAAAACTACGTCACATTTTGTCTTCCATATAAATAAATATTCAAACTCATTGATATGAATCATGTGACAGTTTGTAACAAGATTCTTCTTCACTTCATTAAAAACAACTTGTAACAGTCTTCTTGTAACAGCTGTACAATCCACTTACTGAACACGCTAAATGTCACGACTATAAGATCCTACTTTAAGATTTGGTTGCCAAGCACAAGGCTACAGAATGGACTATCTATGCTCTGCCCACCACGGCCCATTTTTAGCGTTGTAAGATTGCAGATTTACCGCTGAATCACTGGGAACACCCGCTGCAAGCAGAATATTATTTACAAATAAAAAAAGATTGAGTTTTAGTAACTTGGATTACGTCAGTACTTTGTAACACATCTGTTAGTTTAGAGTATTATTGAAAATTCATATACTATAGAAAAAATATATTAAATCTGTTGAAATTTACATTGAAATTACATATGAGAATAAAGAATAAAAAATCGACAAGCGTATGAAAATAGCAGTGTGTATTTCACTTCAATATATAATAGTTATAATGTATAATTGTATGTATATAAATAGTAGTGGACTTTGAGTATTTGACTTAAGTATATAATAGTTATAGTGTATAAGTGTATGTATATAAATAGTAGTGGACGTATTTGACTTAAGTATATAATAGTTATAATGTTTAACTGTATGTATATAAATAGTAGTGGACGTATTTGACTTAAGTATATAATAGTTATAATGTTTAACTGTATGTATATAAATAGTAGTGGACGTATTTGACTTAAGTATATAATAGTTATAATGTTTAACTGTATGTATATAAATAGTAGTGGACTTTGAGTATTTGACTTAAGTATATAATAGTTATAATGTTTAACTGTATGTATATAAATAGTAGTGGACTTTGAGTATTTGACTTAAGTATATAATAGTTATAATGTTTAACTGTATGTATATAAATAGTAGTGGACTTGAGTATTTCATTTCAATATATTATAGTTATAACGTACAATTGGATAGAATAACGTTTTGCATAAAATACCGTGATTTAAGTGCTATATTCTGCTCAATAGAGAAGGAACGATCAAAGCAGGAGACCGTTTATTGGCTGCTGAGAATATAAACTTAGGAAATGCTACCCTACAGGAGGCGCTAGCAGCGCTGAAAAAACTTGATGGGAAAGTCTTGTTTACTGTAGAGTATGACGTATCCGTTATGGGTAAGATAATTCTACAACATAGTAAACTATGTATTTCTGTATTGTTAAGCGCAAGATTCTGATTAATATATTACTGTACATTGTTATATATATAGTGTATCTATGAGTTAAGGAAACTAGTTATCTACTTATGCATATCTACAACTGCAGGTGTAGCATTAGGATTGGGGACCTAATTTATATACCTTTTTATTATGATGCCTAGCTATATGTAGTTATTCATCATTACATATGAGCAGGAAGTTAAGGCTAATGTAGGCTATATGATAAACAGTATACCATGATGTATTAACTGGGACTGCTAAGTTTTATATTGGTTATATGATAGACAATAGATTTTTACCACGATGTATTAACTGGAACTGCTAGGTTTTATATTTAGTTATATGATAGACAATAGATTTTTACCACGATGTATTAACTGGGACTGCTAGGTTTTATATTTAGTTATATGATAGACAATAGATGTTTACTATGAGTTATTAACTGGGACTGCTAGGTTTTATATTTAGTTATATGATAGACAGTAGTTGTTTACCACGATGTATGAACAGGGACTGCTGAGTATGATGTTTGACAGACGTTAGTTATTTTACCATGATGTATCAATAGGGACTGTTCAGGTGGATGTTTGGGTATATAATGTACAGATGTTGTTTATTGAAGTGGTATTGGTTGTTGTTCAAAAACAGTATGAATACCTAACGTGTGTATAACAGTAAAAGTAAAATTACCAAGGACTGCATGTAATGGAGTGGCTTCAGAAGTTTGCCATCTCCTGAAGGGTATGTACATTTATTAATGCCAAATGGTCTTCCTTTTGTAGTTTCTCATACGGCACGCGAGCTTGAAATAATTGGTTGACGTGTAGGGTGAGATTGCTGTATTATAGAAGTCACGTGGATCAGGAACTGGAACTAGTGATTACAATGAAATGTAATTAATGTCCGTTGGATAAACTTTAATTATCCATGACACGCGGAAGCAGTACTGTATTATACGCATAATATGACTGAAGTTCAATAATAAGTAAAGTTTTAAACTGAGTCAATATCTAATCTGGCTAGGGTTTGTTTATTGTTGTTTAATTCAGCTCAGTGAATGTAATGTTGTTTTTTAACATGCGTTGTTCGCAAGTTCCTTGTTCAATAAACAGAATTGTATTGATAAACGTAGCAACTAGTGGCTTATCCTGCTCAATAAATGTCAAAATATTTTAAATGTAAGCAGTAAGTTTCCTATTTTGTTTAACGAAATAAAATCTATTTAGTATGAATTTTCTATTCATGTAGAGTTATAGTGTAGTGTCGTTGACATATTGTTATACAATTTTATATTCATGTAGAGTTATAGTGTAGTGTCGCTGACATATTGTTATACAATGTTCTATTCATGTAGAGTTTTAGTGTAGTGTCGCTGACATATTGTTATACAATTTTCTTTCATTCTCAAGTTCTTGAAATTGTAATATTTTTAAACAGGTACTATTAGTAGTCCTGTTTAATATTACTAAACAGATGTTATTGAAAGATTAACTTGTTTATTAAACATTATTTTGTTTTTAACCAGACGCAGTGTGTAATGCTTCTGGCCCTCTCTTGGTGGAAATTGACAAGTCTCCAGGCACAGAACTAGGAATAACGCTTACTCAGATGTATAGACCAGAAAGTCTTATTGTCATTGAAAGTATAAAACAAGCAAGTATAGCAGAAAGGTTGGTTACATGGTGGTTAAAAAGTTTTTTTTTAATGAATGCCCTTCTCTCGTGTTACTATTTAATAAAAATATAATTGCTGTAAACTATCATAGTAATGGGAAAGATGTTACCGATTTTCTAGTTGTAATTTAATGACGTCAGAGAAGTTCTTGTGATAATATATAAAACGTGTTTTCATGTGCCCGATTTTCAAAGTTAAAATATGTCTTAGAGAAGTGGAGTTTGTTTAAAACATTATGACGTGTAACAAATATTGTTACTCTTTACATAAACCTTCCAGGACTCAGAGAACTATATCGAAGAGTTAAAACCTAATCAAACCATGCGTTAGTTAAGGTATATCATTTTACTAGTTATGAATCTTTATACAGAAGCTATCGCACATAGTTGGCTAAAAGTTTTACTAGGTTCTTAAATCAAGTAAAGTTGGTAATATGAACATGTACTGGTGCTACCTGGTAGATCCTCAGTCTTAACCACGGATTCTGTATCATGTGACCATAGATCTGATGCCAGCTGATAGATCTGTAGTCTTGGCCATGGACTCTGTATCATCTATCTATAGGTCTGATGCCAGCTAATAGATCTCTAGTTTTGGCCATGGATTCTGTATCATATGATAGATCTTTAGTCTTGGCCATGAATTCTGTATCATCTAGCTATAGATCTGATGTCAGCTAATAGATCTTTAGTTTTGGTCATGGATTCTGTATCATCTGATAGATCTTTAGTCTTGGCCATATATCCTGTATCATCATGGATTCTGTACATCTAGCTATAAGTCGGATGCAGCTGAACGATCTTTAGTCTTTGGCATGGATCATGTATCATCTGATGGATATTTAGTCTTGGTCATGTATTCTGTATCATCTAGCTATAGGTCTGATGCTAGCTAATATATCTTTAGTCTTCCTCATGGATTCTGTATCATCTGATAGATCTTTAGTCTTGGCCATAGATCCTGTATCATCATGGATTCTGTACATCTAGCTATAAGTCGTATGCAGCTGAACGATCTTTAGTTTTTGGCATGGATCCTGTATCACCTAGCTATAGGTATGATGACAGCTGATAGATCTTTACCTTTGGTCATGAATTCTGTATTATCTAGCTATAGGCTTGATGATAGCTGATAGATTTTTAGTTTTGGTCATAGATACTGTACCATCTAAATATACCAGCTAATAGATCTTAAGTTTAACCATAGGTTCTAGCTATCGGTTCCTATCTGCTATATATACATGCCCAGCTTCAGCTACTGTTATAAACTTCGGCGTTGTTTTTATTATCATGTAGGTGTGGGGCGCTTCATGCTGGGGACCATATACTGGCTATTGATGGAACAAGAATTGACCAGATGACAGTTGCTGAGGCTTCCCAACTTCTTAAGGCTTCTCTTAAGGAAGTCATTAAGTTGGAAATTTTTCCTATTAGTCAAATCCTCAGCCACAAAGTTCCAGAGCACAACCCTCTTAAAGGTAAAGAACAGCTTTTGTTTTCAAACATGTAGTGAATTATTATGTAATTCATATCATCCGCAAATAAATACCTTTTCCTTCTTGTTAAAAACGATGTAATTAGATGTTAGAATAATAGTTCATTTTCTAATTAAATTTTGTTTTATTAAACCCTAAAGTATTATTATAAATTGTACTTTTTTCCTTTTTGCAGGCATACCCGATATGACCAATAGAGTTAAAATTAAATTTATAAATTTATTACTATCTAAGCTTTTTCAGGTCCGGTAAGTGTAGGACAGTTTTGGTCAAAGCTCAACTATAATCGTTTATCGTCTACTGGAAGTCGTTCACCTATTTCGTCCAGAAAACCTCTACTTCCTCTTCTTCAGCCTTCACTACAAGGAAGGTTAGGTCGACAGTTGAGCCAAGGAAGATATTTACAGCAGTCTGTTCCATCGTCTAATGGTAAAACCTGCTTCTTGATTTATCATTCAGTCGTCGTGAAATCCTTATTATGTTTATCTTGAGCTTATCAGTATTCGATAAGTTATCAGTTCTAAAATCATTAGGTCTGCAATGATTGTAAAATTATTATTTCTATCATCTGTAGGTCTTCAGTATTCGTGGAACCAATATAAATGTTTATCATTAGGTATTATGTGTTCATTGGAATCATTACTACTTTTTATTAATAGGTCTTCAGTATTCGTGGAACCAGTATAAATGTTTATCGTTAGGGTATTATGTATGTGTTCATTGGAATCATTACTACTTTTTACCAGTAGGTCTTCAGTGTTCTTGGTATCATTACTACTTTTTATCGTTAAAACTTCACTGTTTTTGAAATACTGATTGTAAAATCAAGTATTTCATAAATTAATAAATATAAAAAGCATTTTTAGAGGTTACGAACTCGAGCATCTCTTTTATAAGTATTGTCTTTGTTGGTTGTGAAATTAAGTACTTATTTTATTATTATTTTTGCATGAACTGACCAAAAACATTTTTGTTTAAGGAATTAAGAAAATACTTTATAATTAAATAATGAAGATTGGATATATTAGGACTTACTTTTAAAGTAAACAATAAACAATACCGAACATATAATATTTTATTAATTACTGCAAGGTAAACAATATTGAACATTGGATACTTTAGTATTTACTGTGAAGTCAACAATATTGAACATTTTAATTTTAGTACTTACTGTAAAGTCAACAATATTGAACATTGGATAATTTAGTATTTACGGTAAAGACAACAATACTAAATGTTTGATATTTTAGTACTTATTGTAAAGTCACCAATATTGAACATTGGATAGTTTAGTATTTACTGTAATATCAACAATACTGAACATTTAATATTTTAGTACTTACTGTAAAGTCAACAATATTCAACATATGATATTTTAGTACTTACTATGGCGAGCAGATATCAATCATTGCCATGGCTAATAGCCTATACGATCACCTAAATCTAATTATCAATTAACCGCTTTTATTTTTACAGACGCATCATAAAATAATTACATGGTGTAACTGTTAGTTAGTTATAAAATGAATAGTAACTAATTAATCATTAAACGGGGACGGTATAGGCTCCAAACCATGCTTACGATTTGATCGTTGCTCCTTTTCAAAAACTATTTTCCGATGTACTTGAAGTTTATGTTTGAAAGGTTTTGCTCCTTTTTTATATCTTCTGTCCATTTCAAATGCTTGAATACAAACACTTCGTGTCGGTCAAAAGTATTTGTTTCTACAAAGCATGTGCATCGTCGAGTTTAACGAGATGGGCGCCACCTACAGGTCGACTTAGCCATACAGAAACGACCGCTGTTACGATTCAAGCTGACCTCCGTGGGTTTGGGTTTGCTCTGCAAGGAGTGTCTTACACAAGAGAGGTATCTTCTTCACCAATCATCACGGGGATGGATCCTGGAGGCCCTGCTGAAAGGTGCCGTATACTTTATTTTATAAATGTATATTTTAACACGTATATATATATATGTGTGTGTGTGTGTGTGTGTGTGACATTAAGCAATCGGAACAAAACTGTATTAAAAAACTGGAATGAGATAAAGAATCGAGTTTACCTGCATCCTAGGGTATATACTTGCTCTTATAAAAAACTCAATAAAACCAATGTCTATTTTCGATAGGACAGTTTGATGAACACTAGCTAACTTTTCAGAACTTTTATTGAATGGTAAAAGGATATATGAATTAAATACATACTTCTAGTATCATGGCTCAAAAGATGAACTTTATATACACGCAGAACAAAACGGTATTTGGGGCGCTGCCCTAATATTAACGTAGGCTGTTGTTTATGTTGATGTGTAGTTTTTTAATGGCATCGATTCATGTGCTCTAAGTACAAGTAACAGTTATCTTGGATAGATAAGACTTGAATTCTTGCTACTGTTCCAGGACTGGAGTCCTACACGTTGGAGATCGAGTGCTGGCAGTTAATGGTCTCTCCACTCAAGGTCGAACTGTGGAAGAAGTCACCAAATTACTCCAGCGTTCTCGCCCAAGGATCACCTTGGATATTGAGTTTGATGTAGCCGAAGCTGTAGTACCCAGCAGTGGAACATTCACGGTAAAACTAGCTAAGTCAGGAGGCGGCTTGGGGATAATGATCACAGGTGGGTGAAGCAAAGTTTTAGGTCCAAAATAAAAGTCGACGATGCAGCAAAATTACACTATGTATCTTACAGATGTATCTTAGAAAGCAAAATTACAGTGCATATCTTATAGATGTATCCAAAAAAGCAGAATTACAGGGTATTTTACATGTACATCCAAGAAAGCAAAATTATAGTGCATAGCTCACAGACGTGTCCTAGAATTTTCAAAATAATAACATTCTTAGAAAATTTCTTTTCAATCAAACGACGCATGGCTTGTGGAACTTTTAGAGTAGCAACATATCTAAACGCTTGTAATTTATTTAAAAGAGGTGTGTTTGTTTGTTTTTCTTTTGTTTTTAATTATGCACAAAGCTACACAAGGGCTATCTGTGCTCTGCCCACCACGGGTATCGAAACCCGGATTCTAGTGTTTTAAGTCCGCAGACATACCGTTGTGCCACTGGGGGGCAAAAGTGGTGTGAATAATAAAATTAAAATAGAGAATTTTTCACCTTACTTAATTAATTTTGACATTTGTTATCCACATTACTGTGAATGTTCGTAATGGATATCGAAATTTAAAAAAAACTCTTCTTTTTTTTTAAAGTTAATTAAGGGAAACATGTAGATTAATATTATATTGACGTTTTAAATCATATGAAAAATTTTAAATGGTATTTGTTTGTGGATTAGTGATCTGTGAATATTCTAACGCTGTTTAGCTCCAAAAAATCGACAACAAGGAGAACCTCTGATAATCTCGGATATAAAGAAAGGAAGTGTGGCCCATCGAACAGGGACTCTTCAGCCAGGAGACAAACTGCTGGCCATAGACTCAGTGAGGATGGATAACTGCACTCTGGATGATGCTTCTGAAATCATGAAAGCTTGTGATCAGGTTGTCAAACTAAGAATCCGTAAAGACGAAACCTTTTCTGGTAAGATATCTGGAGAGTGGTTTTAATAAAATATTATTTATATGTTTGTGCTATGTAATTTAAGAATCAAATGTATGTGTTAGTACGTAAGAAGACTATGTTAGTTAGTATGAACAATTCGCATGAAAATAATACAGATGAACACTGCGTGTGGTGTGAAGAATTTCAATCATATATATATATATACTTTTATAAGTCATCAGGAAAGATAAGACATACGAAAATCATGACTATTTTATATGTACGAAATATATTCTCTATTGATTAACAATGGATATAAATAATCTTTGTATAACACCTAGTGTATGTTGAAATGAAGGGGAGATTGACTAGTTCCTAGGGAAGAGTGACTAGTTTCGAGGGGAAATTAACTAGTTTCTAGTGAAGATGGACTAGTTTCTATGAGGTATTGACTAGTGTCTAGGAAAGGTTGACTAGTTCCTAAGGAAAATTTCGTTAGTTTCAAGGGAAGCTTGACTAATTTTTATGGGGTATTGACTATTTTCTAGACAAGATTGACTAGTTTCAAGGGAAGATTTGACTAGTTTCTAGTTAATGGTTTATGTACAATATGCTATTGATATGTAGGGAATGATAAAATTAATTAGGGTATTATTAGGTCAGAAAAATAATATGCTCACATTATTCAGCAATTATAGATTATGACTTTATGCAGATTTATTTTATCACTGATTCTACGTTTCAGTAGAGGGACGGTAAAGATCAGGTTATGTAACATTTCTAAAGATTATTCGTTCTATTATATCTAAAAAAATCTGAGTTTAATAATGTTCTACTTAAAGAAGTGTCAAAACTATTACGAACAATAAAAGTTACATTAAGAATCAAACAGCTGACTATAGATAACCCTCTTTGTCAAGAGGTCGATATTTTGTTGCATCTTGTCACACAAGGCGACATTATCTGTTGCATCTGTCACTCAAGATGTCAGTATCCTGTTGCATCTGTTATTCAAGATGTCAGCATTTCGTTGCAACTGGCACTCAATAAGTCAGTATCTTGTTGCATCTGTTATTCAAGATGTCAGCATTTCGTTGCAACTGGCACTCAATAAGTCAGTATCTTGTTGCATCTGTTATTCAAGATGTCAGCATTTCGTTGCATCTGGCACTCAATAAGTCAGTATCTTGTTGCATCTATCACTAAAGTTTACTTATTCTACATTTGGTTTTAAGAGCAAAGAATATTTTGGTTGAAAGCCATTGCATTAATAAAATAACGAACTTTTTTACTTTATAAAACAAATAATTGTACTTCAAGTGCCTTGACGTGTTAATTTGTTTCACTGCTTAAGCCTAACTAGAAAAGTATTATTTAAAAATCACCTCTTGTTATCAGAAGAACCAAATAAATTATTTCTCTTCGATAGGTGTGTTCAATTATTTCATGTTTTACTATTATAACCAGATACTTCTCTTCCCAATTTTACCGAACGATCCTTCCATGTGTTTTTTTCAGAAGAACCAGATGCATCAGGAAGTGTTGTGTATACTGTGGAATTAGTGCGTCACGGAGGACCACTAGGCATAACTATCTCAGGAACGGAAGAGCCTTTCGAACCCATTGTCATCTCGGGGCTAACAAGTGATGGATTGGCTGAGAAGTAAGTTAAAGCATTTTTTCTTTCTCATCTCGAAACTAACAGGTAAACGATTGGTTGATAAGCAAGTTAAGACGTTTTTCTCTGTCATCTCGGGGCTAACAAGTGATGGATTGGCTGAGAAGTAAGTTAAAGCATTTTTCTTTCTCATCTCGAAACTAACAGGTAAACGATTGGTTGATAAGCAAGTTAAGACATTTTTCTCTGTCATCTCGGGGCTAACAAGAGAAGCATTGGTTGTGAAGTAAGCTTCGACATTAATTTCTGTATTTCTCTAATTAAACTATTTTTGCTAACTTCTAGTACATTTTCCTCAAAATCACTGATCGTTTTTGTTTTAGTTCCTATTACGTGCCAAGAGATTTCAATTTTTTCTAATGAACCACAATCTACGTATTTGTATGAATCAAGATACATAATAAATTTTACTTCCACGTGTTAGGAATGATTATGCCTTGCTTCAATCACTTATATGGAGAAAATACAATAACGATGTTTACCTTTGATGTGTCTGTCGCATTTATCCTGAAGATGAAATCTAGCGTGATTTTAATCAGATATTCACCTTAAAATTGGCTTTTTGAGACACATTTTTCTAAACTATTTTTGAACCGAAAAGTTTATGGGCCAAGACTTACTTGCTATAGAGTCACTAATAACACATGAGTCACATCCACACACAATAAACAAGATACCATCGATATGGTAGTAAATCCCACAAGTCAGAGCTGGGATCCTCTTACGTATTTGAACAGAAAATAAGAAATTTCAACATTTTTGGTGACTTCTATACAGAGAGTGTTGTTGCAGAAAGAAGAATTGTTAACATGATGCTATACACTTGTTTTATACTGTTTGACTACCGGTGAGGCTCACATATTGCATCATGTTAACTTTAACCTTCATGATATACACTTGTTTTATACTGTTTGACTACCGGTGAGGCTCACATATTTCATGAAGGTTAAAGTTAACATGATGCAATATGTGAGCCTCACCGGTAGTCAAACAGTATAAAACAAGTGTATACCATGAAGGTTAAAGGGAATGATTTAGACAATATGTATTTATCGTTTCGTATTTTGATATACACATCCTTACTCATTTGCATTAAATACTTTCATGTATTTTATCCATTATTCAAAGTTAATTATCATACGTATATCTGTGTGGTATCAATACAACTGTATGTTAATATTATTCCTGTCACGAAATGATTTTGATTTCTTATTGGCCTATTTGAGCATTACGTGACGTAAATGTCTCCGGTAACGGTTCTGACTTCTTACTGGCTAATTTGAGCATCACATGATTTATATGTTTTCCGTAATGGTTCTGACTTTTTACTGGTTAATTTGAGCATCACGTAATGTATATGTCTCCCGTAATGGTTCTGAATCCTTACTGGCTGGTAATATTATCAGGTATTTATTAATTTATATTGTTATTTCAACTGTCCCTAATATATTAATGAAATGAAATATATTAAGTTTTTATTTTTTGGCTGTAGAAATAGTATAGTATTATTTTTTATGTTTTAGTAAGATACTCGAAAGTTTATTTTTCTGTTGTTACATTGGTCTAATGATGTTAACGACAGATTCGATTAATATTTTGTTAATCTCTTTCCAAAATGTCTCATTTGTGAAATTCCGTATTCAGATAAAGTTTGCACTAACTTGAGCTTCAGCGCAAGGAACTGGAAAGATGTCTGACATTTTAATGTTGGATTGCCAGGCATGTTAAACAAAATAAAATCTTCCGAAATCATTTTCAGCTTTAATAAATAGATATATGGCCAATTCATTTTCCAAAAGGATGAAAATTCAAAGAATAATCGTATTGAATGATTAAATATGATAATTAAAATGAAGATTGGGTTTACTTCATTAGTTAACATTGATGGAATAATATTAAGTTACTAATATTTATAAAGTCTTTGTAACATAGAAAAAAAGCCCCCCAGTGGCACAGAGGTATCTGTGTTGCCATACAACGCTAGAAACCGGGTTTTGATACCCGTGGTGGACAGAGCACAGATAACCCATAGTGTAGCTTTGTGCTTAATTACAAACAAACATAAACATAAAAACAACATTAAATCGTTTTCTAATTTACCGTGACGCCAAAGACAAAGCTTAAGTTAAGATATACCTTAAAATAAGAAAGAATGATTACTTAAAACTCGGGATTTTCCTATAAGAAAATCGTAATGCATAATTTATTGAATTGAATATATACGCTATATTCAACAGAACCGGAGCTATCCACGTGGGAGATCGACTCCTAGCTATCAACGGCCAAAGTCTAAGAGGAAAACCTTTGAGTGAGGCTATTCTGATGCTACAGAACTCTGGAGATGTAGTTACTCTAAAAATATCCAAAACTCCATCTCAGAATCGTAAGTCATTGGACGTTATTATAAATCAGTGTTGTTATTAGATGGATAATATTTCTAAGTTCTATAGTTTGGTAAGTTTTCACATATTATTGATAGGTAACAACGTAGAATAGTATGTATTATTCCTATAGTGTAATAAGGCAGCGAATTCTGAAACTATATTAAATTAACACAGGTGTGTAAAACAAAAAACATCTAAGCTGGTGATGCAACGAATCATTTTTGGCCCAACAAAAGTGAATAAAACAACATTTAACTGCAGATACTTTCCTTCGCATTCCTCTTGATTAGTCCTTTGTGAACTTTATATCAAAAGAGTGTATAAGATGAATCAAATGAGTGTATAAGATGAATCAAATGAGTGTATAGGATGAATCAAATGAGTGTATAGATGAATCAAATTAGTGTATATAATGAATTAAATGAGTGTATAAGATACATCAAATGAGTATATACAATGAAACGAATGAGTGTATAGGATGAATTAAATGAGTATATACAATGAAACGAATGAGTATATACAATGAAACGAATGAGTATATACAATGAAACGAATGAGTATATATAATGAATCAAATGAGTATATACAATGAAACGAATGAGTGTATAGGATGAATCAAATTAGTGTACATAATGAATCAAATTAGTGTATATAATGAATCAAATGAGTGTATAGGATAAATCAAATGAGTATATACAATGAAACGAATGAGTATACAATGAAACGAATGAGTATATAATGAATAAAATGAGTATATATGATGAATCAAATGAGTATATAATGAATAAAATGAGTATATATAATGAATCAAATGAGTATATACAATGAAACGAATGAGTGTATAGGATAAATCAAATGAGTATATATAATGAATCAAATGAGTGTATAGGATAAATCAAATGAGTGTATAGAATACTGTTTATGGTTAATAATAAATAGCGTCTCTAGTATTAACAAAAACTCTATTAATTTTTTACTTATGCAGGGTTAGGACTCCGTTATTGAAACTTTACGTCGTATAAATGTTTTCATTTTTTCTCATGTCACGAGTTTCAAGTTATATTAAAGCATCTATTATCTTGATGGTTAACAAGTGTATGCTTATTTTCATAACTTTGGTGAATAATAACGTACCTATTTAAGCATCCAAACTGTTTAAAAATACACGTATTACTTCTCTTTCAGAAAAACTCAAGTTGACTTACGTAACTACTTCTATATGTTTAACTATTTATTTTTTGTTTAATACAATACCCTTACACGAATGATGTTATATTGTAACATCATAACTTCGACTTGACAGATTTTCTATAAATATGAACCTACACACGGGTTATGGTGAAAATGAATATTTGTTACTTTTTAGGAGAAGAGGAGAGCAAGATAGAAAGGGAAGAGGTAAGATTTCTGTTGATCCAGAAAAGTTTTTGGACTTTTTAATATTTTCTTATATATATGTCGGTATGACACTGGACAGTCTTTGCTTCTGTTTCTTGCTTTATTTCTAGATATAAATGACCATTAGGTTATACGTATACTGTTGTAACGGTTTCTGTCGTTAGATAGGCTCTTCTTGATTTTTCGGTTGTTGTTGGGTTTTTTTTAGTGTAAAGATACTTAGTGGTCTACCTTCACTCTGCCTATTGCAAAGACTCGAACCCCAGAGCATTGAAAATCCTTAAACTTACCGCTGACCTTCTGGGTAGCTGAATATTTCATTAAAACAATGTAAAGCAAGTCCACTTAACGAAAGAACTGGTGCTTTTCTATCATTACATTTTTATCCACCCAATTCTAGAAAATTCGAACATCACGTCAAATCTAGACGATAAGGAAATTTCTAGGCGTACCATTATCTGTTCGTCATGCCAAAACTCCCTCTAACCAACAAAACCTCTAAATTGAATTATTAAAACATACTTCACAACAATACAAATTATGAAATTATAAAGGGAAATGTGAAATGTTCTATAATTCTGAGAAATTGTTTCTAATTAACTCCCAATATGTCTGACAATTAAAAGTAACGTTTGTCGTTTTGTTTAAATGTTTTGCTAGACTTACTTGTTTTGATGTTTCTTTATGTTTAGAGAAAATTCTTTTAAAATTTAATAATTTAGCCGAATAATGCAAAGTTTTAAAAAAAATCGCAGCAAACCCAAGAAAGGGACGCTTACATAAACATTGTAAGCAAGACTCTTCCAAGTGTGGACAGCGCTGTTGAATCGTGGGGTAGTTCAGGTCTGGAGATTTCTATCAACAGAGCAGGATACAACTATGAAAACCAGGAATGTTACAGCACAGTCACAGGTGTGGTGGTTTTGGTTTCAAGTGAAGGATACAAGTTGTTAATTTCACAACATATATGATCCTGGTGTGTGAATTGCAAAATACTATATATATATTATATGTTCTAATATGTATATCTTTTATGTATTAAATTACCCGTATCACCTTAACATGAAATTAAAAGAGTGAGTTCTTTAATGTTTGTTTGATTTTGTTTTATTCTCAGTTATTTGTCATTATGATTTTTAATGCTAGAGTTCCCCACTAATTCAAGGGAGAAATAAATAAAATAAAATAAAGACAATTTTTATGTTAAATTTATATGGAAACCTTTCATTGCTTTTTATTTGTTATATACACTGTATTACTCAATCTATATAAAACTTTGTAGCTTTTACTTTGATGTTTGTCTTAAGCAAAAAGCTGCACAATGGGCTATCTGCGCTGTGCCCAACGCAGGAATCAAATTCCGAATTTTAACCTTATAAGCCTTTAAGTGTACATCTGAGTTACTGGGGGAATAATTCCTACAATCGACACATTTTAATTGAATCTGATTCAATCTCCTTATATTTCATTTTCATGTATAAAATCCTGGGAATAAAACCATAGACAAGGATAAAATGTGCTGCGTCATAACATTTAAAAAATTGTGTTCAAATTAATCCATTGTCATTGCCATTGTAGTGTCTTAGATAAACACCCCAGAAAATATGATTGTTTGATTTTGTTTTATTTATCATTTTTGGATATTTCATTTCTTTTGTAGAGTCATCTATTAAACAGAGCTCCGATTATGATCCTGAGCATTGTGGAACAGGTGACAAACTTAAACAAAGGGAATGGGAAGATGAAGGTTGGGAACTTCAAGCCTATAATAACCACAACTGCCGAAATTGCGGTAGCAGCCATTCTGGTGGGAAAAGGACTGATTGGTCAGAAACCATAGAAGACCTTAATCCAAGTAGCCAATCAGAATTATTGGGAAGAGATCAAAGTGTTGTGGGAAGTGATCCTGGCCATCTGGCTAGTCAACAGTCTCAGTTTTGTGGTAAACTGCAGTCATCTTGTGAAAACATGTTTCTCTCAGGGTCACAAACAGTGTCTGTGGAAAATATCTGTGTATCCGTTAGCCAGCCAGAGCTAGTTATTCCAGGACAATCAGAAGACGATGTACAGAGATGTAGCACTTTGCCACACATTGCTTCCAGAAGAATCAGGGAAAAAGGACAAAACTGTGTAGATGATAATGTTGTCTCTTATCAAAGCTCCTTAGTTCTTCCTGTGCCAATTGAAATCCACAAGGTAACACTATTTAAAGATCAAGTGTATGAAGACTTTGGTTTTAGTGTTTCTGATGGACGCTACGAAAGGGGAGTTTATGTCAATAGGATACGCCCAGCAGGACCTGCAAGCATAAGTGGTATTTTGAAACCATTAGACAGGATACTACAGGTAAGATACGCCCAGCAAGATCGGCTGTATCATTGGTATTTTGAAACCATTAGATAGAATACTACAAGTAAGATACGGCAAGCAAGACTGGCTGATATCAGTAGTATTTTAAAACTATTAGACAGGATAGTACAGGTAAGATATGGCCAGCAGGACCTGCTAATATCAGTGGTATTTTGAAACTGTCAGTTACAATATTACAGGTAAGATACACCCAGCAGGACCTGCTAATTTTAAAACTATCGGTTAGGATACTACAGGTAAAATAAACCCAGCAGGACTTGCTAATATCAGTGGTATTTTAAAACTATTGGTTAGGATACTACAGGTGAAATACAACCAATAGGACTTGCTAATATCAGTGGTATTTTAAAACTATTGGTTAGGATACTACAGGTAAAATACACCCAGCAGGACCTGCTAATATCAGTGGTATTTTAAAACTATTGGTTAGGATACTACCGGTAAAATACACCCAGCAGGACCTGCTAATATCAGAACCAAAACTCCAACAACGTCAAAAATTAATGTTAGTGGAAGTTCATCTTATGAAATGTTTGTATTATTGGAAATGAATTATTACTGTTTTGAATGTTACGCCATCTTTTCTACATGGGTTTTATTTTTTTAATTACTGCGCGTTATGTTTAATAACGTGTGTGATTAGGAATTTTCTTTCTGAACAACATCTTATAAGCACAGGGGCTAAAAGGCCAAGCCAGAAACCACCTTATGATACAGCGCCTCCAAGTTTAACTTCTAACCAGGGAAATCAGTCACACAGTAGCATCTAACGCCCTTTGAATCGCATAACGAAACTGACTCTCACTTCTATAAAGCGTCCACAGTTGAAAATGTAGAATTTTAAGCGACATTATGTGTCAGACGCTGGACCTTTCGATCTATAACCCGACACGCTGACCAATAGACTACGTCCAGTACAAATATATATAGAATTAAGAACTATCAAAATCTCAAAAGGAGTAGTACCTAATCAAATTATAAAACTAGATTTCTTGCCTTTTTTACATAAAAAATACCTTATTTATACGTCCGTTTTCCTGTCTGCTTAACATTTGACTTATGATTTTTGGAAACACAACTTTGAGCAAATATCTTAGTAAGGAACGTATTTTCCAAAAATAAGAACTTTCCACTGGGAGTAGCACGTTTTTCACCATTATTATTTTCTTTGTGAAACATTTAAAACAGATTTAATGTTGTTTAACAGTGAAAAAGTTTAACCGTGTATTAATACCACAGTCTTAAGCCACAGAGTTGTGACTTGGAATATTACACTTTAGTAATATTATGTAATAACAGAAAAATCAGTTCACGTTACTTAATCAGTCTGGGAACTGATTTTACTATTGCCAGTAAACACGCTCTATAGATGTCATTGTACACGTGTGTGAGTTGAAATAAGAACCTGCTCTTTAAGTAATGCTATTACAAGCAAAATTAAATCATTTAATGTACTAATTTTCTTGCGTTGCACCAAACTGCATCCCAGTTTTAGGCTCAAAACTACCTGTATTCATTCCAATAATTTAATGCGCTAATTCTCTTTCATTGCACCCCAGTTTTAGACTCAATGCTATATGAATTAATGATGTAATGCATTAATTTTCTTGCATTGCACTGAATACATCCATATTTTAGACTTACTGCTACATGGAAACATTACAATAATTTACTGTATTAATTTTCTTGCGTTCCACTATGACTACGTCCACGTTTTAGGCACAATGCTAAATGGATTCATTCTAATGATTTAATGCACTAATTCTCTTTCATTGCACTGAATACATCCCAATTTCAGATTCAATGCTACATGGATCCATTCCAATAATTTAATGTACTAGTTTTCTTACATTTCACTGTGACTACATTCTAGTTTTAGGCTCCATGCTACATGAATTCATTTTAATGACTTAATGCACTAATCTTTTTTTGCGTTGCACTGTAGCTACATCCTAGTTTTAGACTCAATGCTACATGGATTCATTTCACAAGTTTGAATAATTGTGACCTTTCTTGATGTTGGAAAAACCACATTTGTCTCCTTACAGAAAATTGTTTTACAAATCTCAGTGCAAAGATATGATGCTACATATCATACATAATACTATCAGAATTTCTTAATATATATAATCTTTTTCATTCCTTTGTTCTTTTATTCTAATTATATTGTTGTAACTATTTCTGTTTTGGCGTTTTTTTTGTATTATTCGGTATAAATAATCAAAGTCCAGGTCACTTAACGAATAATAAAGCGATTTATTTTTTTCAACTGAAAGTTTTGTAACTTACACGGTTTGATAATAATCAACGATAAGCCTAACTCATAACTAGAACTTAACAGTCACTTGCTTATTAATTTTTTTCTCGTATATACGACGTAAACTAAAAACTGGCTAACTGATTAACCCATTCACCTATTCTCGTATTTTTAAACAACATTTGTTTCCCCAAATCTCATAAAACTTGGAAACATCACGTAAAATCTAGACACCCAGGAAATGTTTAAGCCTCACGCATCATTATTGCGTCATGCCGAAAGCTCTCTATAGCAAATAAAATATAACATGTAAATGAAAATATTAAAATATACAAATGAGTTGTAATTAGGGGAACATGGACATGTTTCAGAAACAGTTGTGTCATTTAAAACTTTAGTAAGAAATGAATGTAAGAAACTACTGGTGATTTCTATAAAAAGAGGAAAAAATCAAATAAGTTACGAAAACGTGAAACCATTACAAATGGAGAAATAAACAAAGAACTCCTTAACGTTTGAAAGCTTTTGTATATTTTCTGTTTTTATTTATTTTTTAGAGTTATTTGCCATTTTTATATTAAAAATCATTTTAATCTGCTCCCCTTATATTTTATATATTTTAGACTTTTATATTGACTTGTGTTTTCCAACCACTACACTTTTTTAAATTTATGATTTGAGTTAGTGATTATTTGTTATTTTTCTGCATATTTTTTTGCTCCTGATAGTTTTTTACTTTTGTTTTCTTTTGCAAACTTTTGTCTAAATGATTTCATTTTTAGGTGAACAACACCGATACTAGTGACTTTGACTGTTGCCTAGCTGTTCCTTTGATAGCTGCAGCGGGAGATCGAATAGAAATCGTTTTGAGCAGACGAGCTTATGAAAGCCAAATGTCTCTAACAGGAAGTACTCATGGGAAGGAAGGTACGCTCCATCCCTGGATGGATGAGGGGGATCGAGAAGACTGCTCATCACCTCAGCTTCCACCAGAGGGTTCTGTACTGTTGACAAAGGCTCTTTGATGTGAATTCGAATCTCAACTGAGATGTTCTAAAATTATTATGCCACTTCTTATGAAATGTTGCCCTCACAATAAAACTGCCTTAAAGAATCATTCTCTTTGCATGACATTAGATTATCAGGAAGATAAAATGTTCTTCTGAAATATATTTTAAGTAAAGCTATTTAATAAACATATTAAGACATCTTGAGTTTCAAATGTTACCTTACTGTGTTTCATTTTGCTTTTAAATTTGTCTGTAGAAGAGTTTGACGGATTGTTTTGTTTGTGGTTCACCATCTTACAATATGTGTTTTCTTAAACCTTTCGTAATTATTGTTACCGTTAAACAAATGTTGCGAAATATAGCATTCCAATTTTTAAAAACTTCTTTGATCGTGACACTTTATTTTTTCGTTTTTTCGGAGCTCAAAATTATTTTAACATTCTAAGCTATGTATAAAAAAGTCAGAAATAGAAGAAATGTATATATAAAAAACGAACAAATATATTTCAAGTTTTTTCTAATTATTTACACTTAACTCATTTCATTTTTATAAGTTACACAATCTCTTGATTTATTCACAAAACTTAACACAATGGGACTAGTTGGTTATATCCAGACAAAAAATAAAAGGCTTAAAACCTGTACTGTAAAAAGCAAAACAAATAAAAAACATTCGAATATCTTATAAAATCTGTCAACATGAAAGAATCGTAGCAATTTATTAAATCTAACACAAGGTAAAATCGGATACTTTAATTTGTTTTTGTCAATCTTTTAAAGATACATCTACTTCCAGAAGCTTTGTTTATAACGAGAGCTATAAACTATTTAATGGAATTGATGCAGCAGAGATAACATTTGGGAACTGTTTATATTATGAATAGAAAATATAGCTCAACCTTTCAAGTCCTTACGTTGTTCTGAAAGCCGTGATAATTAAAAACAAGAAAATTAAGTCTCTTGTGCTTTACTTTTTCGTAGTATTTTAAAGCTGGTTAAATGCTTAACTTATAGGATATTTAGATTACTTTTACTGTTGTTTTTTAATTTTGAAATTGCATGCAAATATTGAGGTTGACTATTGAGTAAACAAAAATAAACTTCTTATGTGACTTCTAATAGCTAAACCTCTTACGTGGCTTCTAATTAACATCTAATAGCTAAACCTCTTACGTGGCTTCTAATAAACATCTAATAGCTAAAACTCTTACGTGGTTTCTAATAAACATCTAATAGCTAAACCTCTTACGTGGCTTCTAATAAACATTTAATAGCTGAAACTCTTACGTGGTTTCTAATAAACATCTAATAGCTAAAACTCTTACGTGGTTTCTAATAAACATCTAATAGCTAAACCTCTTACGTGGCTTCTAATAAACATTTAATAGCTAAACCTCTTTCGTGGCTTCTAATAAACATCTAATAGCTAAACCTCTTACGTGGCTTCTAATAAACATCTAATAGCTAAACCTCTTTCGTGGCTTCTAATAAACATCTAATACTTATAACTCTAACGTGGCTTCTAATAAACATCTAATAGCTAAACCTCTTACGTGGCTTCTAATTAACATCTAATAGCTAAACCTCTTTCGTGGCTTCTAATAAACATCTAATACTCATAACTCTAACGTGGCTTCTAATAAACATCTAATACTTATAACTCTAACGTGGCTTCTAATAAACATCTAATATATAAAACTCTTTCATGGCTTGTAATAAACATCTAATAGCTACGTTTAATAATGTTTTCAGTCATAAATTAATCGTAGCTAAACTAGTTTTGTACAGATTGATTGTACCTAACCAAAAATACTAATCATAAAATTAGTTGATTATGTGAATAATGTTTAACAAAGTACGACTTTTCCATCAAAAATTAAAATTACATTATGTAGAGTAGTATACAAAATGTTAGCCAATTAACAGTATAAAAGGCTTTGTTTGGACAACCCCAAGTGTATTGCAGTCTTTAAGATACATTGTTTAATATAATTTATTAAAGGCGAAGATATGTGTTTTCTTTGTTGTTGCTGTTGTTTTTACTATATACAACAAGTTAATGCACGATGTGGGTGCGAAGGTAATAATCTCTAAACTCGAATATTTTGATAATTCTAATTAATTATAAAGGGGCACTGAATACACATAAACATAATCCTTGCCTTTACTTATACATTTATCTTACATACTGCTAATGTATACGAACACATATTCGTGCCAGTAAGAGTTCCACGTTGATAATTCAATACGTATCACAAGGTGAGAATCTGCATTTTTATCTAGTGATTTTTTTTGTCCTGATGTATATTTGACTTTAGAAAAATATTGGTTTGTATTTAAAGTTTAATTAGATTTATCTGTTCGCAATATTCAAATTTTGAGTTGTTGTTTGTTTTTTTTTTCTAAGTGAAAACAAAATATCATTCTGCAACTCAATGCAACGACAGAATTAAATTTAGAATCTTAAAAATTATTTACATGTATGATATCAGTAGATCGTAACATAACAAGTCAACAGATGGCGGAGCTTGAAGAAACGTGATTTTTGTTGTACGGACGATGAAACTATAGAAAGTATACTTTTAAAGCTTAAAATACCATATTAGTTTTTCATATTACTCGTTTTCGAAAGTCCTTGTTATACCCATCTTTTAGTAGAATTATGACGATATATAAATTTGAGATCAGCGCTATAAAAATTGCATATATTGAAAAAGCACATTTTTAATGTTTCAAATTATTGTTCTTATTTATTGGCAGATTTTAAAACCACGATTTGCTATTTTTTTATAATTTGTGGAAAGGTTTGCATTTATACGAATAAAATACGATATATCTGCTGTGTACATTGAAATAAAAAATAATAATTTGTACTGAGAATTTGTTTGTCTGTTTGTTCGTCTTTTAAATAATTGTTTAGAATTTGGAATGTATGTTTTGTCAAACTAAATTCCACGGTAAGTGTCAGGGGTTATAATGCTTGAATTAGTGGTTTGTTCCCCGCGGCGGATACAGCGCAGACAGCTCTGTATTGCTAATACGTTCAATACAAATACAACATTTTATGCACGAGTAGTAAAGTAGTTTATACTGTGGGCTACCATTTCAAATTGCCAGGATAATTCCGAGGATGGAAAGGTTAATGTGTACTTTCTTAATTCTTCATACATATTCATTACGTTGTATAAGACTATTCAAAGCGTGTTATGGAGTTAAAGCGTTTATATAGAGAACTGAAATGTTTACTTTCAGTAGAAGTTCTGAGGCCATTAATTTCGCCCGCATATTGCATTTCACAATACTTACAGCTAACAAAATAATCAACAAAGTTCTTCTTCCCAAAGAGGGAATCATTTTGTTAGTAATGTAACTGGTGAATGTGTTGTCATACGTCACCTGGTTAGAAGTGAAGTAGTTTCCATGATTATTTCATTAATCTTCTAATCTTTTGTGTCAAGTAGACCAGGAAAGTCATAAGTTCACCGTTAGAACGAGTCAGACTCTGGGTTTTCATGATCAATCTGAGTATTGGAGTCTACTAATATGTAGTGTCAGACTCTGGGTTATCATTACCAGTCTGTATATTGAAGTCCACTAACGTGTAGTGTCAGACTCTGGGTTATCATTACCAATCTGAGTACCGGAGTCCTCTAACGTTATCAATTTTCCCGAAAGTAACTGCGCTGATCTTGTTTAACCGGAAATCATCAGAGTTGGCATTAACTTGAAGTAATCGCTTAATCATGATACAAAAGTACAAAACAAAATAAAAAACTTCACAATGAATCATCCGAATCGTGTGGAACATAGTTGTTTTTTTAGCTTTAGATTTGCTGTATGTAATAACAGAAAACATTGCTTCTGTTGGAATCTTTACATAGAAAAAGCTGGATTGCATGTCAACTTAACTGAAAACAAACAGCTGCCTAGGGCGACAAATACTTGGGAGCTCGAGTGTGCAGTCTTAATATCTTCCTAATTCGCCATTCAAGTTGTCATCAGCTCTGGTTTCAGGTCTCAGATCATTATTTGGTAATTAACAAAGGTTTTTGATTTATATTTCGGCTAAATCCATAAATCAGTACTGTTTGGAGTTACTCAGGAATCATTAAAATAGAAAAAACGACTTAACATTTTCTGAAATACTAGCCTGCATTGGTTATTTATATACATGACAATTTATTTTTATAAAATTAAAGCTGTGTCTAAAGTTAGTTTTTAACTGTGTGATAAGTAAAGGCTAACAAGATAATTTAAGTTGTGCCAAAACTGGTATACAATTTTATATAAAGAATTAAACATCACAACATTAAAAGAGTGTACACTAATTTATTAAAACGGCAGCGGGAGTTTTGGACAACTCTACATATTTCGTTCATATTCTATCATCAGGAGATTACCACGGAACCATGTAAACTTTTCGGCTGGGAATTAGAAAATTGAGAACGGAAATAAACGGTTTTTTGAGAGGGAAGTTTTGGACAACTCTACATATTTCGTTCATATTTTACACCGCTATCATCAGGAGATTACCACGGAACCATGTAAACTTTTCGGTTGGGAATTAGAAAATTGAGAACGGAAATAAACGGTTTTTTGAGAGGGAAGTTTTGGACACAGGAGCTTTGTATCAAATTTGGTCAAGTTAAAAAGTGGAAGACGTGTTAATAGAGGACTTCCTTAAAATATATGTGAAATTAATAAGAGGATATGTTGTGATCAGAGTCATGTTTATGTTGCAAGATATGAAAAAGCGGATGAGTGTGTTCGTTTATGTGTCGCCTGAATTTTCTTCCTGTTCCACCTTTGTAGCTTGATGTAAAATCCTAGCATTTGTATTCGTAAATAACGTTATTCACAGAACACTTAGCAAACATTGTTGGCGACATATATAAAACAAACACACCAGTAAAGGTGTACAGTTGTGTTAGTTAGCATCACTCTAGACCAGCGGTTCCCAACCTTTTCACCAACAAGGACCCCTTTTATTATTATTATTTTCCCTCACGAACCCCATGTTTTTCAAACATTCCGTCTACCTAACAAACTGTTTTTATTAACTAACAATTAACTCATTTTCCCATTTTTCACTACTAAATAAAACACATATATAACTGAGTGTGCAATTAAAAAAACAGCAATATTAAAAACCTACTTATTTGATGAGATGGTGTTACCTTCGCGGACCCCAGGTGTCCGGAGACCAGTGATTGGAAACCATTGCTCTAGACTTCTTATGTGTAATAAATAACTGATCAGTGTATGTTTGAAAACATAATGACAAACGTGGAAATAAGTTTTCTCGTGGTTCATAGGTTCTGGAATCTTGTTTGTAATGTGTGGACTATCGTCTAAATATCAGAGCGAAAGTCTGGGTATTTTGAAGGCGTTATTTTCGAAATGTTCCATTTAGAAGTTAAAAGTACTAGCGATAAGAAGTGAGTTGTATCGATTCAAAAAGTTGTCAGTTATGTCATTGTGTAAATTGTCAGTTGAGTGTACTTATTGAGAGTTTTATTTCTACATCAGTCGAGTCTGTAGGCCTATATTATAAATCACGAATTCTTGAAATAACATATTGTTACAACAACGCAGGTCACGTGACGCTCGTATCACGCCACTTCCATCTCGAACCTTCATGAAATGTCGGGAGTCTACTAGATTGGGGTAGTCTTGTATATATATAAGACCGGCCAAGAACCAACGTGAGGTAATGAGTAAGAATGTTGTTGAGCACGAGAGAAGTTCGTTGTGAATTATAGCGTTTGTTATAGAGCGACTGTTGAAATTAAGTGTATCGCAAAGTTGTATTCAGAAAGAAGTTATATTCAGAAAAGGACTTGTATCGGTAAAGTTTCTTTAACGATATCAAAGCAGAACAGGAGAAAGACCAAGATTTGAAGCCAATGATTGATTTTCTTAAAGCAAGTGTTTTGAGCCTTGCTTGGGAGAAGGTGTCTAGTCTAAGCCTTGTGACAAAAAACTATTGGGCACAATGG